TGAATTTTTAAAATCAATAATTTGTCTGGAATCCTGCTCCAATTCCTTATTCAGAATAAATTCCATATCTGTATTCACTGCCAGAGAGTTCTCTCTTTGCCTCCCTATAAAAATATTAGATATGTAAATATAAAATACCTTTATTATTGAAGAATTTTGCTTTGTGGTTGTACATTTTACTTGTCTGCAATATTTTACTCCATTAAACTGCTAAATATGTAAATGTTATGTAAAGATAATTTTATTAAAAAAATGCCAATTTCATATTGAACAGAAACAAGATGTTAAGTATGGTAGCCAACTGATCCCCTACTATTGCAGTTCAAAACTTTCATTTATAATTTTGAATGCAATCAGTTTTGATTGACTATTGATTAGTACGTCTGTTTTCATATAAAGCATGTTAAGACTTTCATTTTATCTTACCACTCTCTCTAAAGGGACAAAAGAAATACCAGATCAATCTAAAGAGCAGTCTGGGACCTATCCATGTATTGCTCATTAACAAAGAGTCCAGTTCTTCCAAGCCGGTTGTTTTCCCAGTACCTCCACCAGATGATCTCCTTCAATCTGCAGTTCCATTAACTTCTCCTAAACCAAATGCAGATCCCCAGAGATTACAAGAGCAATCCCTTCCACAGACCCCAGTGACAGATATGCCAACAGGTGGGTATAGAAACTCTTTTCCCTCTCAGAAATTTGCCCAGAAAGTTTAACACCATTGTTATTTGGATTTTTTGTAATGTCTTCTCAAGGGATGTGGTTGTATCCTGTATAATTTTTTAGACTACCTTACTAGGTTACTTACAGACTAGATTTCTGAAATTTATGTTTGTGTCTTATCTAAGTAAATGATTAGGATGATCATCTTAATATATTTATTTAATATATTTGCTAAGGAGAGAATTCTAAACTAAGCTAGTACTATTAGAAAAGATATTTTAATTCCCAGTGCTAGTGGAGCGTGGTGGCTTACGTGGTTAGGACGCTGGGCTGACGATTGGCAGACTTGTGTTCAAGACCTAGTTATTGCCGTGGGACAGGGTGAGCCCCCATCACTCATTCCAGCTCCTGCTGACTCAGTTCAAAAGCAGGTGACTGTGAATAGATAATAGGTACTACTTTGATGGGCAGCTTAACAGGGACCCCCAACAGGACATCCCCCAGGCAATGATGATGTCATTGGCTAATCCTTTCAACCCAGAAATGCTTCAGTGCGGTTGACAAAACTGTAGTAGCAATATTCAAAAGTGCTATTTATTAAAACTGGCCAGCACTTTGGATTCAGTTCCAAGAAGCTGTTTCAGATTGCAGCTGCCCAAGATTAGCCTCTGTATTTAGCTCTTTAAAAGGTGTTTTCTCCAGGATTCTGTGCAAGATACAGCTGCTTTGTAACCTTACATTCATTTCCCTACATACTCCAGAATATCAGATCTGAACCACTGGGAGCTTAACTGTCAAATCATCTACACCAACAGTCCCCAATCTTTTTGGCATCTGGGACTGGTTCCTTGGAAGATAATTTTTCCATGGATCAGAGGGGGCAGAGGGAGGAGTGTGCAACCTAGATCCTGCACATGTGCAGTTTTGCTCGCCCACCGCCCACCTCCAGCTGTGCAGACCAATTCCTAACAGGCCATGGACGGGTACCAGTCTGTGGTCCAGGGGTTGGAGACCCCTGATCTACACTGTTTTATAATGAGAAAACTATTGAGACCCAAGTACACAATTTACAGGTTGTGCATTTAGGTCTCAATGGTATTCTCATTATAAAAACAGTATTGAGAGTCACCTCAAATCAAAATTCTCTAATCATGTGTGTGAGAATATCTTCATATACAAAGAAGTTTAAGCATGGTATTCTATTTGATCTGCACTGAAATGAAATAAGACTATTCCTAATTACCCATGGCTTTGCATTCTACCCAAGCTGAGATACCATAGTTTCCAGTTTTAGAATTGGTGACCTTAAACCAGCCTTTCAAATTTGTTTTAAAATTCCAACTTGTTCTGAACAAAATGTGAAAAATAGCTAAATAGAAACATAATTTGATTGTTGTCCATCATTAAGAAAACGACAAAAGGGGTCTGTATAAATAAAAAGGTTGTGATACTGAGTATGGTCTCTGCCTTGCATTATTTATAAAACAATAATGGTGGGAAATAAACTTTTTTGAACTACTAGGTAGTGCAATTAGCTAGCTAGTTATTTATTTATGTACTAACTGATGTGAAAAAAATGTTTCTTGTCTCTTTTATTGTGTGTCTTTTTATGCTGATACTGGTAATTAACTGGTGGCACAGATCACATACAAAAAAATGAAAATTTAAACAACACTCCAAATCTTGCAAAAATGCCAAATTAGGTGAGATTTTGGGTTTTGACTGAAATATAAGAGCATGCTGAAATCTTGCAGTATTTCATTAAAAAAATAGAGGTTATCAACCTGTGCTCTTTATCAATATTTGTTTATTGCACTGAACTACGATGTTGGATTTTAACTTGAAAAATTTCCACTACTCTAGATATCAATTTACAAGGAAGCCCAGCTCCTGAAACATTGTGTGCTAGTATTCCAGATTCTGAATTATATGATACGCTTGTAACCGAAACCACGCCTAGCTCAACAACCCTCCCCTCTTCCTTCCTTCCACTGGATGTCAATAGTATTCTAAAGTCGAACACATTTGACATAACAAAGATGGATGAACCTGGAGGTAAAGATCATATTACCTTTATTTATTTGATTTTTAATTTTGCCTTTATTATGTTTATAAATAACTGAAGGTGGCAAGCATACCTAATACTCCTTCCTCCTATTTTCCCCAACAACAACCCTGTGAAATAGATTGGGCTGAAGGAGAGTGACTAACCCAAAATCACCAGGCGAGCTTTCAAGCCTAAAGTTAGACTAGAACTCTGGCTCCTGGTTTCTAGTCTGGTGCCTTAACCATAAATCAAACTAAATCTAACCATTTAATGTTATTTGGCAATATCTAGAAATCTAAAACTTGAATTACACTTTTCTTGTTTAGTAAAAATGCTTAGCTGTTTTATTTTAAAAAATGTAGAAGTCTTATAATTGATTTTACTTCTGGGGTCAAGCCTTTTCATCTGTACCTATTTTATAATTACTGCATATGGTACTGAGCCAAAAGTCCATATCTGACTAGATGTAGGATAATATAGCCAATTTCTTGCATCTACAGTGCAATATATTACATCTGAGGGATAATTCTTACTGCCAATATCTGCTTGACCAGCTTTTCCTTTATGACACTGCAGAGATACTCAGATTGGCTAACAGCTATTGTAGTGGTCCAGATAGATTACACCAATGCTTGCCCTCATCCTGGGAGCAATACAATGAAGAACTTCTATCTGTTTCAACAACATCTTGCTTTCTGCTTCTCTCCAAATCTTTACTTAAGCTTTATAGATAAATCTTTGGAAAGGGAAGTACAGAGAAAAGGAAGATTGTGGCTAAGAATGAGACCTCCATAGTTTAGGTTAGCCCTGTATCTAGGCGGATATAGCATGAAGAGAATACAGTATTCTAAATAATCTTAATACTCATTTGTTAGGATCAATATTAAAAAACTATACCACTTGCATATTTGTTTTTCCCACAATTTTTGAAAACATAAGGATTGCTAATATCCCCATTTTTGATAAAGTACTTCTCAAACTCTATGCGCATTATGAAAATGTTTTAAAGCAGTTTTTTATTGTCTCCTAGTTGATCCTTCTAGCTGCTGGCAAAGGCCTTAGTTTTGCTCTTCTTAATTGCTATGTGGTTAGTGTTTTTTTTATCCTGATCTTTGTAACTTGAGATCACAGTATTGGGTGTGGGACAGCTTTGTGTTTATTTCACCAAGAGTAGCTTACATAAAGTATTTAAATCCAAAATAAAGCTTTGAAGAAATTAATTGAAGCTAGATTTCCTGGTTACTATATTTTACTAAAAATAGATCATAATCTTGTAACTTTTATTCATTAGCTAAATTTGTAATATCACATATGTTGAGGCAGGTTATCTTTTTGAAAGTGAAAAATGCTTTGTGGGAGTTTGAAGGTTAATGAGTTTGTTTAATAAAATATGTGTGTTAGATTTGTCAGGCTCAACATACTCTTTCATGTTTTCACTTTTTTGGCATTACAGTAGAAATTAGGGGAGGTTAAATGAGATCTTCTGATTTTGTTTTGGTTTCCCATTTCTGCATATGCCTAGTTGTGAATTTTCCTTTGTCAACAGGTGTAATTAACAGTGATATCATTGATGAACTGATGTCCTCTGATGGTAAGTTTCTTATTATTATAAAATCTGATTTAAAATTACACTAGTTTGCACAAGTATTAGTTAAGGATTCCATTTTTTGGATGGATGTGCACCAGTAAAAATCAATTTCATTCTTATGGTGTAAAAGATTTGGGCACTGAATTTTCCACCTAACTAGTAGCATCTATATTTACTACTTCCATTAAAACAATGCAATGGTGACATTTGCTAGGGAGCACCTATAGTCCAATCAACCTGTGGTAGTCTTTAACAGAATGCAAATTTGTAGAACACTTCTCAGCAATAAATATAGAAACACTACAGAAGCACTGCGCTGAAGGTCATTAGCAGCCATTCTGCCTAGAACCAACAGGAATCCATGAAGACTTGTTATCTCTTTTGAAACAACCTCAGCAGGTTCCTGTTGGAGCAAACTGCTGGTCTCACCTAGATCCAGCAGTTTTTTCTCACAATGGCCAATTAATGGTAAATGGACGCCCAGCAGAAGGCTTTCAGAGCCAGTCAGACTTCCATCAAAGCTAATAGTCTTTGATCTTCATGACTTTCATGAATTAGCCCATTTTTTTGAAGGCAGCCAGGCTGTAGCTAGCACATCTGTAACAGAAAACCATTTATCACTTTGACAGGACATCCATTGCATTGAACTGGAATACCACTTGCATGTTGAGTATGTGTGACTAAAGTAACATAAGCAAAAAGTACCAGTGAATGTTTTTATTTTTTTAAATACGAAACTCTATTTTGGAGGAGAGTGGAAATGAAAACAGCTATTACTTTAACATAGTTAATCAAAATCTAAGCCAAAATTTTCATGTTGCCCAAATTTAAAGAGTAATTCCATATTTTGGGCCAAACTAAAGTAAGGGATTTACTAATTAATTCAGTGTTAAATTACATATTTTTGTTTTCCTATTATTTTTCCACCCATTACTGTATATGCCGGCGTATTAGGCGACCCGGCGTATAAGACGACCCGCATCTTTGTCGCTGAGCCGCATTCCTAGAACGTCGTCTTATACGCCGGAAAACTACCAGTATTTCTGGCGTATAAGACGACCCCTGTCTTTGGCGCCGAGTTTAGCGCTTCCAGAAGTCGTCTTATACGCCAGCATATACGGTATATAAAATTTTGAATTAGTCATAAGTTTATTCTGTCTACAGCAAAGAAATATAATAATGTATAAAATCCTTTTATCTTACATTTTTAATGTCCTGAAAGAAACTTTACCAATAACATTAGACAGTAGAGATTTAAGTTTTTAAATCACAATTTCACTTTAAATTATAATTCAGCTAGTAAGTGTAGACCAATGTCTCAAATCCAGCTCTCTGTTGATAAATAATTTGGCTCCTAGCTATGCGTAGACTAAAAGGTTGAAAATTTTCTTTGTTTTAAAGACATCTTGGAATATTTCCTCAATTGCTTGACTACTGCCACTTTGGGGAGGATTAGTTTCCCAATTCATTATATAAAATCCAGGTATTCCTTCCATCATTATTGTATCCTCTTAGGTAAATAGATTTCCAGTGTTGAAAGCTATGCCTTCCATTCTGTATCTGGAACAAAAAAAAGACAAAGGAAAACTATTTTTACTATAAAGATATCCAAATCCCATTCTTACTATTACTTCAAAGGTTATGCATAAAAATCGCATTTTAAAATGATACAGGTAAAAACATACCAAAAAATAGCCAACAATTCCTTAATGCTTTGTATTACCTATGAGTATTATGTGCCTTGCACACAATGCAACTTTTGGTTGGAAATTACTATAAAGTATCTAAAAATCCCAATCACAGAGAAATAAAAGCCTTTGGAGGCCTGGCCAAACTTCAGCCTCATCCTTTACTTTTTTATTTGTTACTTAAATTCTGCCTACAGAAAATATTGGCTTAATAATTTAGCATTTCTATTTCATTAAATACTTGGTAGTACTAAACTGCATTGTGAAGAACTTATTTGCTTTGAAAAATATTTGTTTTGTCTGAATTTAAAGTTAAAAAACTAGAACTGAAACAACTCAATAGTAGTATTTATTCATCACAGAAAATTTGTGAACTATGAAAAGATCTTTATTATTTTTAAGAAAAGGAAAAGATATACAAAAAGAAGCAAGAGAAAAAAGCATTTAATAGTAGAATAATATACCAGTGATAAATATCTTACACTAGTTTTCTTTAATATTACATATGAATTTAATGTTTTTCTATCACTGACATTCCCATTGTTGTTAATCATTACATCTGCATTCTGCATACAGAATGTTGTACTTTTGTTTGGTTTCTGAATCATTTCTCACCATTTATAAATAAGGCAAATTCTCTGAATTTTGTGTTAAGGTTTATTAAGTCTGTCAAGTCTGTGAACTCCGTTTCTAAATACATTAGCCTGATAGAAAGGCATATGAACAACATAAATATTCGAGGAGCTAGTGGCATAAGACTCTCCAAATTCTAGAATAGGAGTAAGATTTGTATTTTAAAACCTGGAACTAGATAAGGAACTATGTAGTATTAGTGGTGCTGGGACCAGAAAGGAGAATGGGAATAATCCACTTGCATTCACACATATAGTGAATCAATATAATGATGCTTACTGTGCTTGAATATTAACCAAGTAAATAACTTAAGATACCGTCTTACAGTTTTTCCTCTGCTACGACTGTCTCCAACACCTGGAGATGACTACAGCTTCAACCTTGATGATAATGAAGGAGTCTGTGATCTCTTCGATGTTCAGATCTTGAACTACTAGATTTGATGCAACCAGATTTCCTTATCTACCTCTAACGATGTAATACAGTAGATGCAATTTTATAATTCAAGTATTTAAAATAATGAATGCAAAACTCCATGATTACCAATGCTGGACATACATTTTTTAAAAAATAGTTTCTAAATGTAATGAAATTTAGAGTTGATATTCAAAGAACTGTTAGAGTATCTCAGTGCAGTTACTTACAGGCCTATTTTTTCATTTTTTTAATTATTTTTTTTTAGGAAGCAGAATTTATAATTCTACTTCTCTGCTTCTATTAAAGCTAGCAAATCTGGTGTCTTAGGAACTCCCTATAATCATTGTGAAATTTTGGCCATATGTTTCAAACTTCCACTGCCATTTGTAAAGTAAAAGATGGTTTCTTAGGTTATGTTCTCTCCCAATTCCCTGGGGTGAACCCCAAAAACATTCCGTGGCGTGCCTTCTTTATTAGCACTTTAAATGTCTTTTTTCCTTTATTTCTCACATTCCTAGATTAAGGAAAGCACTATTTGTAGTTCATATTAAAGAACACCAATACTTGTATATTAACAAGATTTTTTAAAAATAAAAACTGTACAAAGATTGCTTGTGACATACCAAAAGATGTAATTTTCACATCAGTATATTGTTTTGTGCTACAACTGAGAAAGTAAGTTAGCAGCAGCATCCACATTGGCCGGTTCGTCTTCCTGAGACATTGGAATCTGAAGAAGGGAAACACATACAGCTTGAAATGTTCTGAGTGCTAAAGATTTCATCAGCTAATATGGGCTTTTCTTAGGGATACAGTCATCAAAACATTTACTTAAGATATTTCAAAAGAAGTAACCAATGCTGCTGCTGCTCAGACTTGCAGAAATGCACCATGTCATTTTTTTTAATGTCTTCTAGTCTGTCTTCATTGGGTTGGGTGGGGAGACATTACAGTTGGCAGAAACACGTTTCAGATATTGCTACAGCAAAATAGACTGTGTGAATACCATAAGAACAGCACCAGATGATCTTTGCAGTTGGAAAATCTGTTTATCAATCTCAGGGTTATAGAATATTTCAGGATGCTTTCCTCCTCCTGCCTAAGTAATAATAACTTGTTCTGAGGTGCAATATACACATTTTGGCAAGGATAGGGACAAAACCATAGCGACAAGATGCCCTGACCCTCTGCAATATATCATGACCTCAAATGGGATTGGTCAGATTTTCATCTTCTGGAAATTAGAAAGCTCAAGAACTACTGTACAAAGTGCTCCCTAGCCACCTGACTCTCAGACATAGGATCAGGAAGAGTGAAGATTCACAGAATCTCTCCAAAAGGTAACGGAATGTATTTGCCTTTGTTTGCAAAAACATCTTACTCTTGGGTAAAAATGAAAGCAAAAAACATCACTCCTCTCTGCCACTTTTGCTGTGTTGACTATTTTTATCAGAAAGGATCAGTAATGTGTTCAAACAACCAACCTTTGGTTAGATCATTCCCCAAAAAAGATACAAGGATCAGAATTTGTTTCCATATGAACGAACTCTTACCTTAAGTTTCTTTGAAGAATTTGATGGAACAGTTTTGGACAATTGTTTAACATTTTTCTGTATTTCTGTAAATACCTTATCTATCTTGTGAACTTTTTCATCATTCACAATATTTATCTTTTGAGAAAAAAGAAACAATTTAGTCTTTTTTATATCAAGGCAAAACTAAAGCACAAAAGTACAACTCCTCTAATGAATCTGTTTAATTTTCATTAACTTACAATAAATCATAAATGTTTTTGACAAAAAGAAGCCAATCAAGATAAGCATTTCATAAAGTTTTTCAGTTTTCTTTAGCAGAAACAGTTAAATATTTGATCTTTAAAACCTAGGATCCTAAGTAGTCAAAGGAATTAATACATCAAATCCATAATACTTTTGCTACACGTGTGCGACCACTGAAATCCAAATTACTGAATTCCCACGTTGCATGCGTATATCATGACTTCTGATAAACCGACTCCATAATTCTTCTTTTAAACATTAGCTGTGGCTGGGACTCTAAATATCAGTTGCAGGGAAACTGATCAGTTGTAGGAAAGACTGTCTTATTGACCAATTAAACTTGTATTAATTACCAATATGAAAAAGAAGCAATTTGAGGAAACTGATCATTTACAAAAGGCTTAAAAGAATGGAGGAAAAACAGGATTGTACTTGCTTATCATAATCCTGACTTTAGTTCATTCAATAAAAAATGTCTATATGTTGAGATATTTTAGCATAATTATCTTTCATAGTGGAAATTCCCAATTGCATATACCAAACCTATGTATAACCTATATCTTCCCAACATACTTTCTCTAATCCTCTCAACTGCTAAAATCTGATTTTCTACCATTTGGAAACAGGTAAGTTCTAAACTACAATTAAGAAGTTATCAAAAAAGCCTAAACTCCTTTAAAGCTTATGTCCAAATGCCACTGTGTTTCAGCTCCACCTTCATGATAACTTTAGCTGTCAAGATTGTTTAATCCTGTCCTGTACTGATGTTACTTGTAAAATAAATCCTGTTAGATCCATTCAAAATGCTCACAGTATTTAATTGAACATTCTATTCTGATGGTTGCTAAGCAAGCAGAACGTGTTTATTAGCACATTCTTGCTTGGGTTCCCTAGGACTGGTGTTGAGAAATATACAGTATTTGGCAATAGAGATAATAAATAGCGGTCTTTGTGAGTTTGGCCAATTTCTCTTGGCATTCATAACAATATTCTGGTAATAAATTCATTATTTAAATATGCAAGTAGATTTATTTCTACTTACCTTGTAATTCCCACCAGTGAACAACCTTGAGTTAATCCCTTATTCTAGTATTTGGAGGTCCAAAGTGTCACCTTTTATCCAAGATCTCTTCAAGTATTTCTATCATGTCTCCCTTTGCATTTTTTCTAAATTAAAATTGCCAAGCTATAATACTTCATTTTCTATAGTGCTACACCTATTGGTCATTTAGGCTGCTTATTCTGTAGGTACTCTGCATTTTTTTCCAACTCTGCGATATTTTTTAACAAATGTGACAAGAACACAGCAATTTTTTTCAAATACTGATTGAATTGGATAGCCTTATAATTGCATAAATAAATGTAGCAGTTTTGTATACAATTGTAGGCAATGCAATTTCTATTTGTTTGGCTAAGAAATTCCAACACAAAATTTCCCACCTACCATATCGGGTTCAACATCATAGCAACCTTATAAATCACACATAAAGCTCCATTCTAGAAAAAGCATGGAGCATGTATTTTATTACTTTGGGGGCATTCCCATAGCTTAAGTGTTCTTGATGCATGAGACTTAAATTGTCAGAATTCCTATAAAAAGCATCCCACCATATAAATATAGACCTGGGAGCACAGCTTGTGTAGCTAGATAACCAAAGTCTTGTGGTTGTTCAACTCAACAATTTAACGTGTACAGTGCAGGTACAGATTTTTTAAAAGTATCACAATCATCTACATACCTTTTTTAGGTTGGTTGCCACTGGCTTTCCTTTACTTTTAGCCTTTAGTATTTTTTTATTGGCTATATGGAATACATTGGCCTGTTTCAGTCCTTTTACCTTATTCTTGCCCATGACCTAAGTAAATACTTTAAAATTTTGAAATAATTAGTCAAAGACTCAAGTTAATGATTTAAGTAACACCTACTTCACTAGTTGGAAAAATATTATTTCTGGTATATGAATTATTGAATGATGCATTTTCAGAAGGAAACTTCTTCCATCAATTGCTTCTTGTGATCAATTTTTAATTACAAATATATTATTTACTGTGCCTGTTTCTGCATGGTGAGGCTCCTTTTTTCTAGCTCTGGGCAATTTGCTAGATCTTTTGGCATCTTTAATAATAATGCTGATATTGACTTTATTCACTAACTTAATTAAAGAGACTTCCTAAATTAATTGTAGGAAAAATTAAAACCTGCAAAAAAGAAAAGGGATGGGCTATATGGGCAGAGCATTCTATAATGTTGATACCATCACACCTTTTTAAGACACAATAAAGCCATTTGAGCACATGACTGACATTCCCCTGTATTCATGGCATCTTTCCCTATGACTAGTTAAACAGGGAAGTCATTTCTGTTGACTTCCCATCCACCAAGCGCAACCATGACCTTGTGTTTCTCTCCACCAGAGAGGGGTATGTATGGGGACTTTAAAAAGTAATCAGCATATCAGAATCAGCATATCAACAGGAGTGGTTAGGGCTTACCCATCCCTACCCTTCTTTGCTCCTTGTTTATCCCTTCTCTGGCTGTGGGAAGGGCACAAATGTTTAAAAATAATATAGACGTGGGAATATACAGAATACAGTAATCTCATTTCTGCAAAGCTGCTCTACTTTGCTGCAAGAGATGGCAAAGTTAACCTAGAAACTTATCAACTTTCTAGATAATACAGAGGTGACTGGAAAAGGTAACTCTCACTCTTCCTGCTGACTGGCTTTAGTAACAAGCTGGGGCAACTCACAAGTAGGGAGTGAATTAAGAGCCGGGTGAAATGAGAGACAAACAGGACACGACATACAATATACAGATTCCCCAAGGGTTGGAAGGCACATTTCCCAAGAGTTGACACCCCCTCCCCCCCCAAGTCCTCACCGTTGCCATAAAACGGAATTTACGATCTAGCAAACTTACTTTTTATTCTGTCTGAGGAGAAGGGGAGCTGCAGGCGAGCGCCTCAACAAAAACCCAAGCAGGGGACAGTGTCCAAATCGAGTGCCTCCTAGATTTTAGCTCTTTTTCGCAACGGCGTGCGCAACCCAAAACCTTCCATCCGGAAGTCGGTCACATGAATGCGAAGTTCCTTCTCTTTGGACTCAGCCAAGAGCTGCTGCGCAACCGGTCCGTCATTGGAGTGCGACAGGATTGTTCTCCTTTCGCCCCTGTCCACTCCCAGCCTGGATTTGAACCGCTTCAGGGCGGCTTTGTCGCCCTTCGACGGGGCTGGGGAACGTAATCCTCAGCCCCGACTGCGAGAGAGGGAAAGGGCGCGGATGTTACTGGAGCAGCTGCCAGCCGTATCCATTTGGGCTCGCAGGCGCTTCGTTTTGAATAAGTCCAGCTGGTACAAGTAGACCTCGACTTACAACAGTTCACTTAGTGACCACACTGAAAAGAGTGACTTGAGACCATTTTTCACATTTATGACCATTGCAGCATCCCCATGGTCACGTGATTTACATTCGGGAAATGGTGAAAATTCAACTTAATAAATTTCTCAACAACATATATTTGGGCTCAATTGTGGGTGTAAGGTGAGGACTACTGAAGGGATTTTATTGTGCTTATGATTTTAGTATATTTAAGTTTGACATTAGCATTTATTTTATATATAGTAACCATTTTATATTGATATTTATAGTGTTATCATGTAATCATTGTTTTGTTATTTTGTAATCATTTTGTAGTTAATTGCTTGATCAGATGCTTTATATCAGTGGTTCTCAACCTTTTTAATGCTGTGACCCCAACCGGTCGTAAGTTGAGGACTACCCAACCGGTTGTAAGTCGAGGACTTTCCCTGCCAGGAGCGCCGCGCATGCATGGTGCCGTCCCCTGTGCTGGCCAAGGCGTAGCTGGCAAGCGGCAGAGATGGCGCAGGCCGACCACCGGCTGGGCCACCAGCTGGCCCAGCCCAAGGGAGGTAAAGCACCCACTGGGCCTCACGCGCGCCAGCAACCATCCCTGCGCCCGCCGGCCTCCCAACCCTGGCCCTCTTTTACTTACATTTTTACTAGTTGCTCAGCAGGGAGGGGTGGAAACTTCCAGACAGCTCGCCTTCGCTGCAGACCACTTGCAGCACCGTTTGCAGAATGGGACTTTTGGCGGGCTCAGCAGGGCAGAAACAGCCTGGACAATTCCTATTGGCTTTTGAAAGCCAATAGAATTAGACTCTATTCAAGAGAGTCTATACTATTAGCTTTCAAAAGCCAATAGAATAAAAGGGAGTAGCACAGCTAAGGAAAAGGGGAAAAAGATGGCGGACTGCGTTGTTTGGCGACCCCCGTGAAATGGTCGTTTGACCCACAGGTTGAGAACCACTGCTTTATATAAATATATTGGAAAAGTAAGGGCTTCATGCTTTAGGTATAGGTGATTGCTTATATGAAAAGAGCACAGTAAGGGGAGGGGGGGAAAGGAGTTACGGATGGAGCCTGGGTTGCTGTGTATGAGTCATGATCTGGGAATTATTTTTTTGTGCCATCTCATGCCTAGTACCAAGACCTGATCTCTTTGTTCTGAAAAGGTATAAAAGGTGGAAGACATCTTTTCTGGTTGTTGCCTTCATCTCTCTACCAGCCACGAAGAGAGATGGAGTCACCCAACTCTATTTTGATCAAAATAAAAGTTGTTTGCTTGCTGAAACCTCGGCTCAGGAGTTTCTTTGGCTCTTTTAAATTCCTGAGTAATGCTGGGGCAATTGTGACGCTAAGTGGAAAACCTTACACTACCTGTAGAGACAGCTGAAACAGATGGCATACACTCTTTTTTTTAATTAGAATCCTGCTTTATCATGTGGAGAGAAGATTATAGCCGTCCAGAGTATGGAAGCTTCATAACAACCACAGAATTCATGCTGGCTTACCAGCACAATAATTGGCCCAATCCTGCTCCCACTGTCAGTCACTACCAGCATTCCAGTGCCAGAGAAACCTGGAATCCTGAAACAAGGCATCCCGAATTACACTGTGACCACCAAGCAGAGGGTGCTGTTGCTAGATGATCACTTGCAGCTAAATTTGCTGCTGTTGTTGCCAACTGGCTAAAAGTTAACACCAGCTCTGCTTCTACCACGTCACTACTGAATCTTCATCTGATTGGCAACATCTCCAGTCCAGCACAAAGTAGCTGAGAACTAAGAGATGAGCTGCTATATAAATTGAAGATAATAAATTGAATTGAGTTGAAAAGTGTGGCCAAACAGTACACTGTTGCTGGATGTCTAAACAGCCTGGTGAGCCATTTTGTCTCCTCTGGCTTCTGAGGTTATCACCATCTGCTGTGCACACTTTCCTTCTAAGCCAGAAAGTTGGATATTTCATCTGCTGTAATTACCATGAGGATCTTTGACCTTTGAAGGGATATGAGGAGTTTCCAGACTTTCCTCAACTATTGCAAATTCATAGAACATGTATAACATTCTTCACCAGCAATCTCTTGTGCCCACCACTAATTTTCACATTCAATCAATCTGTGTGTATTTTTGTGTGTAAAGTAGTTATCAACTGTATGACCTTTCTATGAGTTCTCTGTGGGCATATGGTTAATTACTTTGGAATAGGTCACCAGTCTTATTTGTGACTAACAATACTCTAGTATTGACTTACAAAAATGAGATAAAATCTTCCTGCAAAGCTCACATTATTACTGACTTTTTGATGATGATATAGCATTGCAATTAAAATTATATCTATTATATCAATCATGCTACTTTAATATAGAATTGACAAGCTGTTCTTGTTAAAAGATATGCTTGACAAACAGCAGCAAGTTGAGTAAGGACTATATGCAGTAATACTTTGGTAATCTCAGTACAGTACTTGTTTTGAATAAGATGGGTTTAAAATCTATGTTGAGATTGCAAGATCAATAAAGAAGAATATTTGTAGCTCAGAGTTGAAATGAGGAGTTATTGGTGCTCGCTGAGCTTGGTTGTTTTCTTGCAGATGTTTCATTACCCAAACTAGGTAACACCATCAGTGTTGGCACTAATTGCAATATTAACAGCAAACTGAAGATGGCAATGCATACATAAGTTACCATTCTTAGGACTTGTTACATCAGACCAACTTCCATGTTGTCCCTTATCGTTTTGCATGTAGAAACCAGTTATCACCCCACAAATAGGGCAGTAAGACATTCAGTTTTTTCCACTGCTGCCTTCCAAGTGGGAAAAGGACTGGTATTCCATTGCATTCTGCAATTTAGTTATAATAGTCTGAGTCAAGATGTGCTGTGGAATCAGCTGATAAAAAAATATTAATTTAGACCGCAGACAAAAAATGTCACATTTAAATCAATCAAAATTTTGCAAAGAAGAAACATGTTCTCTCATTCCTTATCATGCTAAATTCTATTGGATTTAGAAATATTGGAAATGTATTTTTAAAAAGTATCCAACAAGCTGTGATGTGTCGTCTGTCCTCAGTCTGCTTTCTCATCTCAGTCCTATGAACAAATACCTCAATGCGACTTTGAATTTAGTTTATTTTCCAGCCAGAATAAGATGCAGATTGTTCTTTTAAATTTAGAATTTAACATTTAGGATTTTTAGATGTGTGATATTGTTCTTACCCTTGTCTCCTATTATATTGATATATGTCATAGATTACCTGAATTTTTTATTAAACTCTGTGTGCACCTCTGAGTCAGGTGGCATCTTCCTGGACTAGTCCCTGTTTTCTTGATGAGATTTCAGAAGTGGCTTGCTATTGCCTTATATTTAGAGAAGAATGACTAGCCCAAGGTCACCCAGCGGGCTTCATGTCTAAGGTGGACTAGAACTCACTACTTCCTAGTCTCTAGTCTGGTCGCTTAATCACTGCCCCAAACTAATTCTCTTTTTATTTAATTTTTAATTAATTAATTTTTATCCTGCATTTATTATTTTTATAAATAAATGTATCTTCCTCCTCCCATTTTTCCCAAGAACAGCAAACCTGTAAGGTGGACTGGGTTGAGAGAGTGACTCAAATTCTCCTGGTTTCTAGTCTAATGTCTTAACCCCTAAATCAAACTTGCTTTCAAATCTTTCTCTTGTTAAAATACACATATGAGTTTATTTATGGCATTTGATATCTCTATTTAATAATAAAGGTAGCCTTAATTTACATAACCACTTAAGCAAAGCTTTTGATAGAGACTCTAAAATCCATGAACATTGTAAGAGGACAATTGCATTAGTCTATATTAGCCAAAAAACTGAAGTTTGGTAATGACTTTTCAGAGCTGTATAATTTAATGGAATTAAAAAGCAAAGCTTTTGTGAATGACAGCTCACTTTGTCAGATGCACAGAATGGCTTATTGATGTTGCATTAAAATCAGGATAAGGTAGAGGAGGAAAATGTGTGTGGAGGTGGACAGAGTATGCAGATGCAGGTTACAGTACATGTGCAACAGGTTACAAGTGACCTAACTAACAATTGTAATGTGGTAAAATCTCACGTACTTCAAAACATTTCAGGCACAGAAGCAGAATTTAGAGCTCTGTTGTGGAAGAATTCAAGAGTACTGAGATAGAAAAACAAAGGTCCTAATTCTTGACTTGGATGAAACATCTCCTAGCTACTCTGAATGCCTTCTTGTCTGCTCACCAAATACTTGGGCCAGCATAGTTATCTTCCTTACTCTCTTACCTTTCAAAGAGACTGTCATCTTTTCAAGATCTCCATTGTGACAGTGGGACCCCTTGTGATAATAGAGGAAAAGGAGAAGCTGAAAACAAGCACATCTTTCAGACATATTTCTCCTACAACTCTCACTAAAGCAGGAGAGGAATGGAGTGCAAGATCAAAGACTTAAGGGATCACACAGCAATTCATCACAAGTCTAGAATCACAAGTCTAGAATCACTACAGCCAGAATTACTTTCCCCTTTCCTGATTTTAGCATCAAGCAGAGCTTCATTTAGGAAAGTCCCTCTGGAAGTGATTTCTCAGGGTTTTTTTTATTACTAAGCAGAATCCTAAAGTTAGTGGCCCTTGGATTCCATCAAGCAAATTATGATATAAAAGAAATGCATTCCTAGCTTTTAAGAATTTAGTTCACTCAACAGACTGCAAGCTGTCAATAAGACAATTGGTTAAAGACCTTTATATATGTCAAGGCATTTGAAATAAAGCTGTGTTGGGTTGCCTAAACAAACAAACAAGAAATAATTTAGAGTGTCTCTTAAGATCTCAACATACATAGTGCATTTTTAACATATTACAATTAATAAGTACTTATAATTTATTTTATGTGTAATCTGTACCTGCATAACCACTCTATCTTCTGCCTCCTCCTGCCCCCCCACCTTATGCCAATTTATATCCTACACCGTATCAGTCTAGTAACCACATTGCATCGAATGAAATACCTGTGGCTCATAAAAAGCTTATCCCTTTTTGTACAATTTGTTAATCTGAAACGATGTTATCAGACTCCTCCTGATTTTAAAATATCAGAGAAATATCAGAAGGCCAGGACGTTTTAGGAGCTTTATTTTAAAAAGACCTGCATATATTAAATAATGTTGCACAGTACAGGTAGTCCTCGACTTTACAACAGCTCACTTAGTGACTGTTAAAAGTTACAACGGCACTGAAAAAGTGACCTATGACCATTTTTCAGTTACGACCTTTGCAGCATCCCCATGATCATGTGACCAAAATTCAGATGCTTGACAAATAGTTCATATTTATGACCATTGCTGTGTCCCAAGATCATGTGATCACTTTTGGTGACCTTCTGACAAGCAAAGTCAATGGGGAAGCCAGATTCACTTAACAATCAGGTGACTAATCAACTGCAGTGATTCAGTTAAGGTCGTAAAATGGGGCAAAACTAACTTAACAAATGTCTCACTTAACAACAGAAACGGGCTCAATTATGGTCATAAGGACTACCTGTACTGGTGAGGTTCATACACTATACATGCTAAGTGAGGGTTTTAAAGACATGTTGATCAAGTCACTGTGGTTTGATAACGGTAGTACAAAATATAAAATCATAATGAGTGAAATCATGTATTACACAATGCCAAAATCAAAGAAACTGTATTAAGATTTAACTCTGAAATAAGCAATCTGTAATTTCAAGATTGTTTGGTAAACCCCCGTTTTCTATTCTAGTGCCAGTTGGAATATTAAAACAAAAGGGAGCAGACTAATCAGTCTTATCTTTCTGGCCAATATTTTGTACATTATCTTTTTTGTATGTTCCTTTTATGCTTTTCTATGTGTATTCTAAACAATCATATCTCTCTAGCTGTCTTAGAACTGTGGAGTAGATAAAACAACAGCCAGCAATAAACCTACGGTTGACTGTGTTTGTTTCATGCATACACAATGCAAGCTATTCGATCTGCAAGAGCTGCTCAGCACCTGCTGCACAACAGTTTTGTCTGAACTAGGTAGATTGCAGGGGAGAAAAGCCCATTTAGAATAGGGGCTAAAAAGTGGACTGGATGATCTTTCTAAATCTCATTCAACCTGGAAAATAATTGCAACTCATACATAACCATATTTCCAAACAGAAATGATGCCAAACCTTCATGTAGAACAATATATAAAATGTATGCATGATAATATATCTTTCTTAATCTAGATAGGTAAATATAAAACTATCTGCAATGTTGTGCAGTATATTATATATGCACATGCATATTACTTAACCTAACAAATTAGCTGCAAACATTGTCCACAAACTACAGCAGACATATAACCTAATCAATGTTCTCATTTTCTAATCTGAAATGATCAATAGGGAGAATGGTGCACTTATTGTAAAGGAGATGAAATAAATATAATCAACACCCAACTTTTGTGTAAAAACTGATTTCTAGAAGCAGAAAAAAATATCTCAACTGCAAGTTAAAAATATACCATAAACCAGGGGTCTTCAAACTTTGCCCTTTTATGATTTGTGGACTTCAACTCCCAGAATTCCTCAGCCAGCATGCCTGTCTAAGGAATTCTGAGAGTTGAAATCCACAAGTCATAAAAGCGCTAAGTTTGAAGACCCCTGCCATAAACTCTGGCAAAAATAAATCCACTATAAAAATCTTTTTAAAGTAAGGCTTTATTTGTTCCTAGCTATAAAGCCAGTCATGGGACACCAATACAATTATGTGTTGGTTGGGAGTTTGAGAATTCTTGCCCACTATAGAGATGAAATGTAAACAATTCAGTGACATATGATGAAAGAGGAGAAAACTCTGTCCAGCGGTAGCCTTTAGTATGTCCAAATTCCTGCTTCCCCTTCAGTGAGATACTTTGGTCTGTATCAGCCTTGCCTTCTCCAACCTTGTGGTCTTCCTTTGTTAAGAAATCTCTATTATTCCTATTTGACCAAGATGATGGGAGTTGTAGTCTAACAAAGATGGAGAGGCCCAATGTGCGGAAATCATGTCTGTAAGTACAGGTGGTCTTCAACTTACGACAACAATTGAGTCCAGAATTTATGTTGCTAAGTGAGAAATTTGTTAAGTGAGTTTTGCTCCATTTTAAGACTTTACTTGCCACTTTGTTAAATGAATCACTGCAGTTGTTAAATTAGTAACATGGTTGTTAAGTAAGGTGACCAACTTTTTTACAACAAAAAGGAGGACACGAATAAATTGAAGAAAAAAATATCGTAAATAAAAGAAACATTGTATTTATTGCAACAATAATACAGAATACACTATAATATGATCAATGCATAATAAAAACATTTGTAACAATAACATTTTATATTGTAATTATGCTTACATGCCTATTAATTATTTAAATGAGTACTTTTCCATTGAATGAATATTTTTTGTCAATGTATCATCTTCTAACAATATATTGGAAATATCTGAACAAGAAATATCCTTCATATTGAATTTTACGGCAAGTGCTGCAGCTAGAGTATCAACATTCAATCTCAATTTCTCACTTGTCCAAAAATCTACACGGCTGGACTGTGCGGGGGTGGGCAGCGGAGGCAGGTGTTGTGAGCCAGGCGCTCCAGGATGGCCACGTAGATGCGCAGGGTGAGGTGGTGCACTGGTCAGCACTGCGTAGACCATCAGCTGGCGCGGCTCATGGAAGCTCAACTGCCCGCCGCGCCCCTGCCCACAGCCGCGCTGCCAGCACCGCTGCCCTGCCGTGGAGAGCCGGCCCCGCGGCTTGCAAAGCACCAGTCGAGCCAGCTCCAGCCCTGAGCCGCCCCCCAGCACACCGCCACCCTGCGCATCCCTGTAGAGCCGGCCCACGGCTCACAAAGGCAAAGCACCAGCTGCTCCGGCTCCGGCCCTGCAGCTGTCCCCCCAGCCATCCCCCAGCACCACTGCCCACCCTGCGCATCCCCGTAGAGCCAGCCCTGCGGCTCGCAAAGCACCAGCCGCGCTGGTTCCGGCCCTACAGCCACCCCCAGCACCACTGCCTACCCTGTGCATCCCCGTGTAGAATCGAACAGGGAAGATCAAGAGAAACTTACCGCTCCAGTCTCCTCCAGCTATCTGCGGAACTAAGTAAGAGATGGTGTAGTTGGGTAGCAGTGAGGGGTGCAAAGTTCCTGCAACTTGCACGTGCAAAGTTTGCCGCCTGGGTGTTTTGGCGCGCTCAGCAGCAATTCCTATTGGCTTTCAAAAGCCAATAGGAGGAGTAGCACAGCTCAGGCAAAAGTTGAAAAAAGCCATCAAAAAAAGGTCCCGGAATGCCTTCTGGACGTTCTATGAGGGAAAAAAAGCCCTGCAGATAAGTCTTCAAATATAGAAAAAGAGGACATTTAGGAGGACATTTTCGAGGGAGGACAGAACTCCCAAAAGGAGGACTGTCCTCCCAAAAGGAGGACAGTATATGGAAAAGGAGGATATTTAGGAGGACACTTTTTGAGGGAGGACAGAACTCAAAAAAGGAGGACTGTCCTCCCAAAAAGAGGACGGTTGGTCACCTTATGTTAAGTGAATCTGGCTTCCCAATTGACTTTACTTGTCAGAAGGTTGCAACAGATGATCACATGACGGGGACACTGCAGCTGTCATAAATATGAACCAGTTGTCAAGCGTCCAATGTAAATTAGGTGACCATGGGAATGCTGCAATGATTGTGTGAAAAATTGGTCATAAAAATTGGTCATTAAGTGTCATTTAACTTCAAACGGTCACTAAATAAACTGTTGTAAGTCAAGGACTACCTGTATTTTTTTCTTGGGATTTTGCAGAAAAGTTTTAGGTGCCTTCACACTTAAAAAAAGGCACTGCACAAACCTGTCTGATTCTGGAGGTTGCACTGCACATTGTCTTTAACACACAGTTATTTTAGATACAGCAATGCAAAAAGCTCACTCACTCGGTGAGTGGTATCTAAATTTGATAAATAAATATTTTTTTTTTTTTTAAAGGCTATGCAAAGGAATCCCTTCCCACTCTCGCTTTTGGAAAAGAGCGCGTCTGAAGAGCTGGGCCCCCGAACGCAGCACCCACGCAAACCGTGTAACCCGGGGTGCCTTCCTTTCCCGTGTCGCGTAACTCCTTCCCAAGTGACATTGTCCGAATGGGGGCTGCTTGCTGACCGGCCCATCTGGAGGCCAAAGGCGGGGACGCAGCGGCGGCTGGCACGCGGGGAGATAAAAGGGCGTCGCGGGACTCTGCTGGGCGCGAGCTTCTCACTGCCTCGGCCTGCCACCTCCTCCTCCTCCTCCTCCTGCCGCCGCCGCCGCTGGTCTGCACCCCTTTTGACATCGAAACGACATTCGCCTCTCTGCATCGCTTCCATCCCGTTAGCAGACTAAAGTCATGTTACACTGGGGATACGAGGAAGACAACGGTGAGGAGGAGAGCTGGTGGCTCTCTGGGGGAATAGGTGCAGGGGGCGGGCTGTCGGGAGACGCTGCCCGAGGGCCAGGAGAGACTCCGCTCCCGCCACGACCATCCTCATCACACGCCCAGTTCTTTCCTTCAGTTGGGATGGGAGCGGGTGGAAGGGCTTCCTTCCTAGGCCGTTGAGTCTTCAAGCCACTTCCACTAGACGTGCGACCTCTCTCTTACATTTCACGAGTTTCCTTGAGAGCAAGCCTGCTTTCCAATGTGACGGGATTTACTTCCAAAAAAGTACCCATGGAATTTATTACAAACGCGGAAGGAACATCTTCGCTTAGATTTTCTCTCTCTCTCTTTTTCTTTCTTTTTCTCTCTTTTTCTCCCTCCCTCTGCTATATTCCTTTGGAAACCAAATTCCTAAAAGTTTTGTATAGATATAGGTGCATTATTTTTTGTGAGAGAATATATTTTCTCTGAGTCTGGATATATTTAGAGATTAAATGAAATTTCTTGATCATAAATTTGAAGCTGCAAAGTCAGGACAAAATGTAAAAATGGAATTTAAAAGGATATTGCATAACAAATTATTTTTCATACTCAGTTATCTAATTCTTTTCTATTTAGCCATAATTTTGGAGGGAAAAGGAACACTCACCAAGGATCTGTGAAGAGAATAAATCACAAGTTATCTTAAATTGCTCTAATATTATAGAAGGATCAAAAATCTTGATTTTTACTCCATTGTTCCTAATAAGAGAAAGAAACAGTTTCATTTTGTCTGCATGAGTGGCGTTGGAGCATTTAAGATATGCTAATTGAGATAAGACAGTTTACTGTTCTCCCATATTTTGATTCTTTTTTGCTATATGTAATGTTAAGAATCACAATTAATATTTTTCAATACAGACTTGTAATAATGATATTCAGATTAAATTTGAAGGCTCATGGTTTGCACATTCTATGTATCTATTCTATCTCTGCACTTCTGTACCTATTACATTAAAATTAATATCAGGCCAGGGAAAATATTAAACTGAGTTCACAGAGATACTTAAAATTAATTTTACTTCAATTCTAGTTCTTAAATGGCACACATGAATTCTGTTCATGTAGTTATTCAAAAGAGAAATGCAAATTATCAACAATACTGATTTTTAGTTACTTCTACTTCTTTTAGTTAATTTTTGCAAATAAAAACATGGTGCAGCTGGAGCTCTTGAAACCTGAAAGTGATTTTGAACATGGAAGGAATAAATGAAAGATTCATGAAACATTTATTAAATATTATTCAGATATCAATACGTTGTCACTATCCTCAAAGGCTTCTTCTATAAAGACCCCTTTAATTTTTTCCAATACAAATATATTTTTTGAAAGGTTCTAAGTTTCCGAGTGTTTGGTTGATGAGTTTAGAACAACTCTGATTTTGTATACTCCTTTACTGTCTGTGATAGACAGGATTCAGTAACAGATTTAGGAAGACATTTTAAAATGTACCATGTCTTATTGGATGTGTAGTTATCACAGTAATACAGGTAATGAAAGACTTTAGTTTGGGATGCTGTTGTCTAATCTCAGTGCTACAACAGGGTGGATGACGTCTGTTTAGGAAGCAATGTATTAAAGATATCCTCCAGAACTTTGTGTCCTGCTTCATAAGGAAGAACTTAGATAAGTTATTAGAAGGCTGGGTGTTACATCTAAGAGATATTGCTTTGGTGGACTAAATACGTATCAAGATTATCCAACAGTTAACATGTCAAGCTTAATTTGTTTCCACTATCAGTGGGGGCTCCACTTTTAATACATTGGGGTTCCTAGGTTAGAGAACCTACTAACATCAAAGCTTTGCAAAACTTTGTCCTTTTCTTATCAGTGACTCCAGTTGTGTTGTTGTGATCATACAAACACACAAAGCATTTATGTATTACTTACGTGGTGTCTACTCATTGGAAGGAAGATTTATATTATTAGCTCATACTAATAATCACTTGTATACATTTTTCCATTCACATTTATTCCTGTGAATAAGTTATTATTAGATTCTCATTGTAATTACCTTGAATAATGGGTTAGATTAATAACTTTATACTTTCACTGAATTAAAAAGTTTGTGGTAAACCATTCCACAATTACTAAAGCCTATTATTCTATTATCACTTTTAGTAAACATAACGGAAATTCCTCTTGAATAAAATCTGCATAGGATTGCCCCCTATATCAGCATGCTGGCATTTAAAACTTAGTAAATTTAAAACATTTGGGGAGCAGAAGTTATTTATTCCTTATTTGATATACCTATGCAAAGATAAAATTACTTAAGCAATCATCTCAGTAAACTTTTGTCTGTCTTTTTCTATACTGAATGATAAATATTAAATGATATAAATGTTCTTTGAGGAATGAAAAATGATATAGCTGACTCATTCTAGAAGTACAATTTGTCTTTGCATATATGGTATGAAACAGTGCAAAAGATAATCTTGGTGGGACAGAAATATGGTTGACGTAAAACAGACAGTGTGTCCAAGAGATGATAAGGAACATGATGCTGTATTTTTTCTCTCCTGAATTAGAAGCACAGAAGGTTGAGATATTATTTTATTAGACTAAAGGACTTTAGGCAAGCCAATAATCTCTCCATCTCACCTATCTTGCTAAACTCTTGATGAAGAATTTTGAATGATGGATTCTGACCAGAGTAATATAAAATGCTAAACGTGAATTGGGTTTTCTGTGTTAGGAAATACAAAATATAGGTTTGAGGATTTCATAATTTCTTCCCTATCAATACTTGATAAATCAGGTATAATATTTATTTAAAAAATATTCCCTCCCATTTAAAAACACAACTCTAGGTGGCTCACGGCAACAATAAAACCCAGAAATAAATCATAAAATCATAGAATTACATAAGTTCATTTGACTCTAATGCTTAAGCTTAACCAGTGTATTCATCATATTATAGATTGGGTAGAATCAAGTCAGCTTAGCACCTTATACTCCTTTCATTTTTTGGGGGGGGGGGAATTTCAAAGACAAGCAAAGTATGTATTTAAAATAAAGATCCCTTGTGATTAAAATTTTATGAAGGAACCTTGTGCTTAGGTAGGAATCTTGCTTTGAACACTTAAGATAATTGATTTATTACACTCTGAATTACACTCTGTACAGTGTTTCAAGAAGTTAGGCAGGACCAGACTCTATTTGGGGAGGGTGGTATTAGGATTTTTAAGTACGGAAATCCATTCCCTAATCATTCATTTTATCTCTTAATAATGAAAAAAAGGGAAAGGTCCCAAAATTTTGGTACCACCTTCAATGGCATAATGACAACCTGATTTTGCATTCCTGCTGAAGGAAATCTAAACTTAAACCAAATTCCAAGTTTGGCTAGAAGCGTTTCTGACAACAGAAATAACAAAACAATTTCTGTTATTCCTTTCCCAATGCAGAATTCTTCACTGAATGAAAAAGAATAATAACCGCTATTCCACAATCTATTGCTCTTCATTTGTGTTGCGATTACACTTCCTAGAATTCCCATTAATGGCAATCAGCCTGGGTGGGCTATTTCAGAGTAAGCAAGGCTGCCACTTGCTTGGTATATTTTTAAATAACATTTTATATTAAGGCTAATGTGTAAAGCTGATCTAAATGCCAGTTACTCAAAATGTTATTAGGATCAATAGCTGACCAGTAGTTTGCATCTATGATATACTGTAACGAACAGATATCACTTTTCCCAAGGATTGTACAACTACTGTTTTATAATTTTGTTATAATATCAAAATGCCTGACACTTTTACTACCTTATAATTCTTTTATTTCTACTGAAGAAAGCTGGGACAATTAAACTAGGATAACAAGTACCTTATATGTAGTTAATATGCTGAGTATTTTGGTTCTATTTTCTATTGTGCTCTAGATTGATATTTTTGAAGTTTGGAGCTTCTAAAATTTAACTCTTGGTATTGCACATATGATAATGACTGGTAAACTGAGACTTGGTTGTTTTGAAATAAATGACTCAGGTATTTTAGGGGGAAAATGTAGACTATACAAGTTCTGATGGCAAAGTTAGGAAATCACCTTCTACATTGAAAAAATGTATATAAATGTATATAAACTATACGTACCAATGAGAGCACAATTTTTAAAACTGTTAGCATTTTCCAATTTAGTTCTAAGTGATATTGTGTAGTATGCCATCACAATTCTATCTTGCTGTATTGCATATATAAATCAGTTCTGAACCGTCTTCCGTGACGGTGCAGTATTTTCTTTCAAAGTGACCATACTACCGTATATCAAGTTTGGAGATCGTTTATGGGCTTCTTAAGCCATGCTTTGTTTCCTGAATTCATTAGGCGAAATATCTTCTTCAACCTTACCTAAACTTTGATGAGCCAAAATTAATCTATGTTTCTGAATAAAGCACTTTCTATGTTACTGAACCAAAGTAAAACATTATAGTTGTGTGAATCACAGATTAAATCATCTGATGGATAAATGTTCTCTGAATCTATTGCATGTGTGTTAATTTCAGGTGTTTGCTGCATTCCTAATGACCAGAATGCCTGGAAGTAGGCAGAAAATGAACAACTCTAGTGTTCTAACCTGCATCCTTGGGTATTCAATTCATTAGAATTAAGATATTTATGTAGAGGGCTGCCTTTCAGCCCACCAAAGATGATGGGGTGGTATATATTCCATCCCTTTAAATCCAACCATTTTTAATTATTTTATTTATTTTTTTAAAAAAAGAAAAATAAGAAAATCCAGGTAGGTTCTTGTGCATTTTCTTATATGACAAATTCTTTGTTTGTCTGACTGTACCAAATGATATTCTGTAAACAATGTTTTCACTATAATGTATTCTAGGACCTACTCACTGGAGGGAAATTTTCCCCATTGCTGATGGAGACCGGCAATCTCCCATTGATATTCAAACTAAAGAGACTAAATATGACTCCAACCTGCTTCCTCTCAGCCCCAGTTATGATCCTTCCTCTGCTAAAGTCATACTCAATAATGGACACTCCACCAGTGTGGAATTTGATGACACTGAGAATAAATCAGGTTTGTTTTCTAGCAAATCTATGTCTGATTTAATGCTCTATAACTAATTGTATCTAAATTATAAGGCAGCTATTCTCCAAAGAAGATCCTTTTACCTTTTCACTTGAGTGAGTTTCAATTAGTTGTAATTGTCTAAATATGTTTGCATTCAAATGAGCTGTCCACATCTTTCTTGAATATGATTTTATCTGATTGGGTGCAGAAAATTGGATACCTTCCTAAAAGCCCTATTCAAAGTGGGCTAAATTCCTTTCTCAAACACTGCTTTATGTCGCTCCCATTTTATGGGAACAGTTCAGACATCCTTTGTAATCACAGAATTTTTTGCTTGCCTTTTTTTTTTCCTCTGTAGAGTGAATAGCAATTTTCAGAACAGTTATTTAGAATTTTAAAAAAAGCATGCAGGGGACATGCAGCCCTACAGTGCTAAGCTAGAACCTCCAGCAGTTATTTAACACTGAGAGATCCAGTCAGTGTTTTCTACACCAGTTTTGTGTTAGTTTTCAAGTAGTCTGAAAATACGCTTAAGCACTAAAGGTTTCCCACTCTCTGTTTAATAATAAGAATTATTAATATTTTTTACAGTGCTAAGTGGGGGTCCACTCACTGGAAATTATAGGCTGCGACAAATCCACTTCCACTGGGGAGCCAGTGATGACATTGGTTCTGAACATGCTGTGGATGGAGCAAAATTCCCAGCAGAGGTAAAGTACTCCTCTGAGCTGTTCTGAAGCAACAGGATTTACTTTTGCAGCATAATTAAAGCTGTCCTTTCTAAGATGACTATTGCATATAGCACTGGTGTGATTTCAGCAGTAAAATTATTATTAATTTTCAATGGTAAATTTTATTATAGGACCGGTTGAATGTGTTTAGTTATACTGCCAACAAAAAATGTAGCTGATCAAGTTCAGGCAGGAAAATGTAATACTGTATGATGAATTTTATTATTTAGTTGGGAAATTTTTAGTTCCTAATATGTAATTTTTGGAATTTAAAACTAGCCTGGCTGAGAAATTTTCACTGTATCTTGTATATTGATCATATCCTTGGTAGTAAATTCCATGGATTTCCATGGGAATTACTCCCAATCACATCTGCTTAGAATTGCACATCGGTGTTGTTGTTTTTTTCATTAAAACCTGTGCTTTTGATTGTTTCTGGTTGCTATGGAAAGAGGTTTTGGTGTGATCTCAGCAACATTTCCATATTGTCTTTCATTTATGTCTATTGCACAGTATGTTTTTAGCTATTATGCTACTAGTGCATCTGTAGCCCATTGTGAATTTATTGTCTCTGCTTGCCACATGTCTGTGAAAACTGAAATTTTTAAAGGAACGTACCTTTTGCCGAACACAGGTGGACAAACATGGCGAGTTATTCAATATTCTGACCCTCTCACACACAACTGCTTTGGATGCACATCTTCCTTTAAAATATTCCAGTGTTCACTGTCAAGTGACATGGTAAAACTGCTGTGCAAAACATGGAGGCCCTGGAATTAATCAGCTCTTTGGGTTCATATTGGTGAACATCAGAATAAATAAAGCAAAACTATATTGCATATCATTTTCTTCTCTGAGAATTAAACTTGTAAAACTTTCTTGTTCACTGAAACTATAACTAGCATTCTAAAGATGAGAAGAGGCTTTGAAATAATGGAGCTTGACTCAGTCTTCTGCATTTAAATTCCAAGATTTTCATTAGGCTTAATAATTTTCTGTTTTCCTCCTTTTCACTTCACTTCTCAGCACATGGGAAGTATGCACTGATCTCAAATTGGCATTACATTTTACTAAGCCGCATAAGGAGCATAAACTTGTTGGAAGAAAATGAGGGTCAATTAAGCATCTGGGAATACCTAACCTGTAAATACTAAGACTTCCCTTTTATATTTTTCACAGTATTTGCATCAGAGAGAATAAAACTCTTAGTAAAACAGACTAAAGTGCTTTCTGTTGATGTTTTCAAAAACCAAGGGAAACAACACTATTTCCCTCTTGGCTGATTTATTGGTCTGCTGGATGGGCTTGAGACCATGCTGGGTGGAGCTGTAGTGAGGTACATCTGTGTGGAACCAAATTCAAACACTGTAAATGTTCTGTTTTTATAATAGGGTAACAATTCTCTCAGATAAAAAGTATAGTCTAGTTACAATCTCTGTCAATTCATTTTAATGTGTTTTCCATGCTGAAATGAAATTGCAAAAATGCTAAATGGAAGAGACATTACTAATACATTAACATTTCCAATGATTGCTTTTCTCAACATGAAGTCCTCAAAAAGTATAAATTGCTTCTAGTTAACTAACATTAAGCAAGAAACTTTTCTGTTTTTTTTAAATATTTCTGAAATGGAATAGTAGTTTGAAATAGTAGCACATGTTTGTCAGTACTGTAATGAAAGAACGAAGATTCACATAAATAATGTCCTTGATCAAATAAAGGAAGATAGAAAAATGCCTAAAATTAATGGGGGAAAATCAGTTGGGGGAAATGACATTTGCAGTGTTTAAAGACTTATGTTTTCCACAGGAACCAGGTGAGATGGAATATAACGAATTAATAAGAGGTGCTTAGAAAACAGTATGTTCCAAAACAGATATATAGCTGGAAAGAAATAAGTTCCATCTAAGAAACCAAATGGAAGGAGAAAATATTTAGGAGTGTTTAGTCAGTTTAAAACATTTTCCCTCTGCCGATTATCAAGAACCCACTAGAAACCTTACTGATTTTGGAGAAAAAAAAAAAGACCCTAGATTTGAGAGAGTGACAGGCTGATCATACGGGTGGAGATATGCCCAAAAGGTCAGTGAACAGATGTACGGTGTTGAGCCCCGGGAAGAAAAGGCTCTTTGGCTCAAGAATGCACCTCTGCCAAATTGGCACATGCAAAAAGAAAGAGCTGCTCTGCAGACAGAAGACAACACTGTTCCTCTGGCAGATGATCTCTGTGGATCCAAAGTCCTATTAATCTGAGGCAGCCTATCTCCTGGACCCAGGTGTTTCCAACAGGCTGCGATACAGTTCTGCTGAGGATGATGCATAAAAGAAACAGGCCTTAAAAGATTTCTCCAACAAGCTGTGGTGAAAGAGCGGTGGTAAGACAAGATACAGTACATACATCCTTTAAAAAGAAGTCACGGGCCATTGGGATGGGCCTCCCCCACAGTGTTCCTCGTGTCTTTTCTTGTTTGTTATTTTTCATTAATCTACAATAAAAGCCATTCCTGTTGAAAGCATTGGTTTCCTTTTTGTAAAATGTTCACAATATTTCAGGAGATATATTGTCCGGCTTTTTTAAGTGTGTGTGTTGACACCTTAAAAATCCAGATTTAGCGAACTGAGCCATTAGAACTGCTAGATTTTATTCATAATAATATTTTGCACTTACAAAGCAGCTTTCCTACAAGGATGTTAAAGCCCTTGATCCAGTATGTGTGACTGAGAATTTGTGAAAGAAAAATGAGGGTGGGAACACGGCTGGTGGGAGGGACTGGCATGAGGATTTGTCACAGACTCTTTTATTATTTTTATAAATATGCCCCAAACTAGGACTGACTAGAATGGATCTTCAGAGCTTTGGACCAAAGTGTGTGGAGCTTCCAAAGGACTACAGGCGTCAAGATGGCTTTTGGCTACTTGTAAAAAAATAATGACTTAGCTCCCAATACTCCATCATGTGTTACAGATTCATCAAAAAGTGATGATTAATTGTACTTATTTTCTTGCTTTTCAGCTTCATGTGGTGCACTGGAATGCAGATAAATACCCCAGTTTTGTTGAAGCTGCTCAGAAACCTGATGGATTAGCAGTCATGGCTGTTTTCTTAAAAGTAAGGAAATAAAATGATATTCTTTCATTTCAAATGTAGGAAGCAAAAGATCAGACTATTGTTTAGCACATAATTTTGTCTGTCTGGGCAAGGAACATTTTAGTGGTTCAAAACTAAGCATAATGGCTTCTAGGGGGATGAGAATCATAGTGGTTGGGCTTATCATTTGTACCTTTCACCAATTTGGGTGCTGGAATCAATTATAGACCCTCCAGGATCCCAAGTGGATGGGTGATTCTTTTTTCCTGGTTTTATTTGGGGAAAATGGAATTTTCTGCTGTTTAAAAACAAGCCTTTGTAAACTTATTTTACATTTACTCTACTGTTTTTAGTACTTTCTGTCTCCAAATGTTGAGAAATTAAAATTTGACAATACAATTGGGAATAGATTCAGATTACACAATGGATCACCTTGTGGGTGCCAAACTCCCCCTCCACAGATATATATTTGTATTCATATTTAATTTTTTTTACAGCAAATACCCTGAAGAATGTACGTGATGTTTTAGTACATACAAATATATGAAATATTATATGGGTAGCAAAGTATTTATTTTTCAAACTTTTAAGCAAGAACAACTTCCTAGATGCAGTTTCCTTTTGTGGAATGTGTACCCTCATTCACCTCATTATTCCAAAAGAGCCTTTAAGACGATATTCTCCAGAAAAAATATCTCCAGAATTCTACCATACAATCCATGCAAATCTATTCAAAAGTACATCTTCCTGGAATTAGCAAAGTTTACATTAGATAGTGTGAAGTGGGTTGCATATTCATAATTGGACTTAGTAATAGAATCATAATTATAGAATAGCTTTTCATAAAACCTCTTATTTTTCTTAGGTATTTTGACATTTTTGAACATTGGAATTTTCTTTTATCTTCTGTGGTTATTTTTTAAAATACATTTTCTTAATTGCATATATTTCTGCTTTCTTTTTAAACTTTTCAGATAACCATTTTGCTGACAAAAGTTAATGATAAAAACCAGTAAAGTTTAAAATCAATAAAACCATTTTCTCTCAGACAAAGAAACGATCTTACATTTATATTTACAGTTGGGTGAATGCAATTCACAACTGAAAAAAATCACAGACCAACTGGATACCATTAAAGTGAAGGTAAGGCAGATCAGGTCCTTGTACCGTTTATTCTTATTGGGATTGCAATGGAAGCTTTACTACTAAAAACTATTTCAGATAATAGATGGCAGACCTGTCTATACTTTTCGTTAATTCACAGAGTTATGAATTCTCTCCAGGTAGTGTGGAACACACAATATCGCTATAAATATAGATGATGAATCAAAATCTACATGTTCTCTTTCCGGTTCCCCTCAGCTGCTTTAATAGAGTATTGTGTAATAATTTCTAGGGTTGTCCATACAATTGGAGCTCTTTAAACCTTTCACAAGCACACTGTCTCTTGCCATTTGCAGGTGGTCCTTGTTTAGCGGCCACAATTGGGACTGGCAATGCCATTATTAATCAAAGCGGTCACTAAGTGAAACTGCAACTATGCTCATGATCTTACTTCAGATTTCCATTGCTTTATAAACCTGCAAAGGTCATAAATGCTGTGATAGATCACAAAGCTACTTTTTCATCACTGTCATTAATGACAAATAGTTGCTGTACAAGGCAGCCCTAAACGAGGACTACCCCTACAACAGACACGTCAAACTCGTGACGTCACATGATGTCGTGCAACATATCAGGACAGTTTTGCCATTGTTGGCAATGGGGTGGGCGCGGCTTCCACGTGATGCGTTGGGCCTACAGGCCGGCAGTTTGACACTCCTGCCCTAGAAGCATTAAAAGCTACCAAATTTTGGCAGTAGAATGTGCAAAACCTTTAAATGGAAGTTGAGAGGATACAGAAAATACTAATTCTGCCCTCTAGGTATTGTCCACATATTTGCAGCCCAGATCTGGTAGTCCGACAAACATTAGAGTTTGAGGAAGGGCAACTAGTGCTGAGAATGAGATGCTGCTATGCCTGAACAACCATAGAATAATCTAAATCTCTCTATGCTCATGGAGGCAAAAGTGGAAAAGAAAGGTATCTTCGGGAAGCAGGAAGCCTGCCATAGAAGGAAGAATTAACAGTGGAAGTTATATGCCACATTGTGATGAAGAGGGCATTTGCTAATTCCTGCCATCCTTCTTTCTTCAGGGTAACCAGCACAGGTTCACCAATTTTGATCCTTCCTGTCTGCTCCCTCATTCACTGGACTACTGGACTTACCTTGGGTCTCTCACAGTTCCTCCTCTTCTTGAGAGTGTCATTTGGATCATCCTTAGGGAGCCTATAAGTGTTTGCTCTGAACAGGTAAGTTTTGGCTCTGACCAGAGAGGATACTTTCCCATTTGAAATCTCTCTTCTTAAAGGGGTTCTCATATGAACTTTTGCCATTTATTGCATTCTGATATCAGAAGTCTACATGGGTCACCTATTAAAATCTAACTATATTAACCACTCAGATAGTCAATAGGAAAAATCTGTCTATGTATCTTGTAAAAGTCAGCATTGACTGGATGGTACATATTTAATCAATCAATATTAACCAATAAAGTGTAAGTATAATTAAGAGCTCCTGTATTCGGTTTCAGTGGCTTCTCAAAATTGTGAGATAGTAAATGTGCGTTTGAGGCTTGTACATAATGTGCTTAAATGTTACAGTGCAAATTAAATACATTCAGTTTATGTTTACAAATGTTATGTAGGCACTGTTTCATAATAGGTCATCATTCATTAACTGTTTGTTTTTGTTCAGGTGTTATGTCTTTATGGGTTCAATTGGAAACTAATTGCTCATAAAAAAGCACAGGTTTATACCAATATGTATCACAAGGAAGAAAACTATGTGCATGTGGAGTGCATTTTTGGCATTAATTCTTGCTGAATTTTGTACCTTTTTTATCCACAGCTGGCCAAATTTCGCAACCTCCTGTGCACTGGTGAAGGAGAGCATGCCTATTGCATGCTGAAAAACTTCAGACCACCACAGCCTTTAAGGGGGCGGGAAGTAAGAAGAAATTAAAGAAGGATAATTTGCTTGACACTGTTTTGGATGCAAAACCCATTTAAAAGATTGCCCTTATTTTTTAAAAAAATGTTTTAATTTGAAGTGTGCCAATGTTTTTCATTTTTAAATTATAGGAATTTTGTTGGAAATACAGAATAGAGTAGAGTAGAGTAGAGTAGAGTAGAATAGAATAGAATAGAATAGAATAGAATAGAATAGAATAGAATAGAATAGAATAGAATAGAATAGAATAGAATAGAACATTATTATGATCCCTGACAATTTTGCCCCTACAGTATAAATCCCAAATAAAAACCTATGAGCTTATATAAAATAACAGTAAATGCAAAATCTGTGTAAGTAGTGAGATGATAAGGAGAAATAGAACTAGAAATACTTATATCCAATTCAGGATATAAAGTTTATTTTATTGATACAATATTTTTGTTCAATTATTTGATTCATCTATTTTAAATAATAGTTTTCTTGCAGTTTGACTATGTTAGAAAGTCAAGACACTCCCTTTTTATTAAGAATATAATTAACAATGTAAGAAGTTATTGGATTGCAATATGATATAATCAAACACATTTATTCTGAATTGTAGTTAATACATCAATATTACATTTAGTGGTCTGAATGAACTTCATGCTATTATTTGATTGCAGTATAGCATGCTAAGTGTAGTGATGAGGATTCTATAGACATAATTTAAGGTTTGTGAATGAAATGAGGATTCATTTCTAGGCAGAGGATTAAATGCTTTAATCTTCTACTCAGGGATTCTAAGCGTTTATCTTCAAAACATCCTAAGAATTGTTGCTCTGTAAAGAAACTCAATAGGAAATTATTCAGCTCATTAGACCAGAAAGCAAGAATGGCAACACACTTAAAAAATCCAAACAACTAACAATATAATGATGGCAACGTATTTGTTTTTTAAATCTTTTTATCAGTGATAACATGGGTTTTTGCCTCTATTCAGAAGTGAAGTTTGGATTGAAATATGCTTGTTGAATTATATAATCTGTATACTAATTGGTGGGTATTTGTATATAAGGCTATGAATGATGGTTTGGACATGACATTGTTTCATATTTAAAAAAACTACGGATCTTAATATTTTCATGCTATTTAATTTCATAAAAACATTGTTAAGGAGTAGGGGGTAATTTTGAATCAAGGTAAGGAGTAAATAAATATTATTGGTCTATGCTCTTATGTTAGATATTTTTTAAAAAAAATATTGACAATAAATTAAGTTTTCTTCTAACAGTATGTTTAGCAATTATTTCAAATAACAGCTAATCATTTTAATGTTTTCAAATTTACATATGGTTAATTTTTTTAATTTGCACATATGGAAAAGTAGGCTAATTGCTCTTTGTTTAGCAATTGCATAAGACATATGAAACCAGATCCAATCAGAAATTATAATGGGATTAAATGTAATTTTACAATTTTACAATTAAGAACAAGATTAATTGAACCACAGTCAGTATTTTATTCTGTTACATTTTCCTTCAAAGTTCCCACTGAATGTAATGGAACTTACTTTAGCATAGAGATACATAAATGTAGATAACCTTGATTTGAGGCTGCTCCTGATACTACATAAACAGATGTTTATACAGTTTTCAGATTAGAGTGCAGTCAGAGAGCCCACTCAACAAACTCAAAAGATTAGATGTAGTTCTCAAATATATGCTTCATGGGGCTTAAGTCCTTTCATTAAGCTACATCAGGAAAAATGCTGACTGTGGTTCAATTAACTTTTCTGAGGCCAAGAAGATGTAGAAAAATAGAGAAAGAGGTGGGAATAGGGAAAAATGCAAGGTACCTAATGTGTGTATGTATGTGTGGCAGTAACTGTGAGAGGGATCTCAGAGTCTTAGTGGACAATCATTTAAATATGAGCCAGCAGTGTGCTGCAGCTACCAAAAAGGCCAACACAGTGCTAGGCTGCATTAACAGAGGGATAGAATCAAGATCACATTAACTATTAATACCACTTTACAATGCCTTGGTAAGGCCACATCTAGAAAGAGTACAGAGAAGAGCAACAAAGATGATTAGGGGACTGGAGGCTGAAACATATAAGGAACGGTTGCTGGAATTGGGTATGTCTAGTTTAATGAAGAGAAGGACGAGGGGGCACATGATAGCAGTGTTCCAATATCTCAGGGGCTGCCACAAAGAAGAGGGAGTCAAGCTATTTTCAAGCGCCTGAAGGCAGGACAAGAAGCAACGGGTGGAAACTAAGCAAGGAGAGAAGCAACCTAGAACTAAGGAGAAACTTCCTGACAGTTAGAACAATTAACCAGTGGAACAACCTGCCTCCAGAAGCGGTGAATGCTCCAACACTGGAAGTTTTAAAGAAGAAACTGGACAGCCATTTGTCCAAAACGGTATAGGGTTACCTGCCTGAGCAGGGGGTTGGACTTGATGACCTCCAAGGTCCCTTCTAACTTTATTATTATTATTGTTGTTGTTGTTATTGTTATTATTGTTATTATTATCTTTGTATGTTTTCCAGCCTAGCTTGGGAAGAAAAAAGCAAGCAGGACAGGAAATGACAATTTCATGACTTGCTATTGGGAAAGTGTCAAAAAGATATCTATAATACAAGTCCAGCTTCCCTACAAAGTTGCCCACAGAATATGGCCCCCAAACTCAAAATATTTGCCATATAAATAGGTGATGCTTTGACCACACCACTGTGGTTTCCATCTTGGCTGCAAAACTCCCTAATGTCCCAGTTAAATATTGTCAGTGTTCGATACAGAGTCTTTGGAGTAGGTCAGGACTAGCTGGTTGAACAACACAGTGGAAACAATAATAACTGCTGTTCAGGGTAGTGATGTTAAACCTGTGTTGTTTAATTAATAGAACTATCAACTAAAGCCAAATATTGACTAGGGCAGGGCTCAGGAATTCTGGAAGTTGACGTCCACGAGTCATAAAAGAGCCAAGGTTGCCTACCCCTGGACCAGGGTATTGTATAATCAACACAGTGGAAACAATAACAACTGTGGTGTTCAGGATAGTGATGTTAAACCTGTGCTGGTTAATTAGAACTAATTATTTAGTAGAACTATTAGAACTATCAACTAAAGCTAAATATTGACAAGGGTATTGCGTAATTAACATGAACATTCATTAATATGGATAAATTCATATTTTCATATACATTTTGTCCAAGCCCTATTCCTTATGCCAGAATTTTTATATTATCCGCTTTGGAAATTCCAATCTTTTATGCAGCACTTTGGACAGCAAGTTGGGAGGTATACACATAAAATAAAATCATTAACTATATAAGGAATTTAACATGCTTTTCCCAATCATTACTCTAAAATTTGACATTTCAAAAGAAAGGATTTATGAACTGGACTGTATTTTATGGAGGCAGAAATTTCTCTTTAGCTTTTCTGACCAGTAGGTGTCATTAGAAGCAAAGTAATATTAAGATGTGATCTAAAACCATTAAAATTATTTTTAAAGGATAAAAGAGCTACAGCTTTGGAATGAATAAACATGAATGATTGAAACGTGGCAAATAACTATTTTTTTCCAGCAAATAGTAAAGCATTAAAGCAAAAAACATCTGATACAAATGACATCTTTCCTTCCAATTTATTGAATGCAAAGCAATGAACATTTTTTAACTCAATGAGAAAAATGAGAATACCAGTAACACAGAGATGCAATTATAGGTATTAAGGAAGATTTCAAAATCTAAATTATCTAAAATAAGGGACACTAATGTGGGGTGAGATGAAAATAACATTTATTCTTTGAGTGATGTGGCTAAGGGCAGATATTTACATTTGCATTTAATTAATTGCATTACATTAAATTTGATTAAATTCAATTAATATGATTCCTCGTGTATTTAATAACATTACACATATTAAAGCTAGTTTAGTGAGAACTTTTGGAGAGCTATGAAGTCTCTACTATAAGGTCTTTCCTAATTTATACTTAACTACAAGAACACCCTAGTAACACATTTGTGCTACCATTATATTGCCTTCAACTCTTCCCCAATCCATGAGTGAGGCATTCTTCTTAGCTCTACTAGTATCTTTCCTCTTCAGCCAATGGCATATATAACATGTTTTTGATCCATTATGTCATAGGCAAAGGCAGGTGACCTGGTGGGAATAGAATGGTGCTTACCAGTCATTCCAAGCTAATTGTGGCTGTTCAGACTTGTTTGATGCCATCATATTGTCTCCTTAGAACTGCCTACAGGAGTGCATTAAATATAACAAAAAACAGTTGGACAATATAGGCATCCATGGCTAATCACCAAAATGTGAAAATAAAAAAAAAGTATCATGACATCACTACATGAGCCCTCTCCTTTCACACTTGCACCCCAATGACAGACGCCTCAAAACCATAATGCACGAAACTTAGTTTTTTTTTCTTAATTTGAATCAACCTTCAATATAGAACTACCCAGCATTTTCTCAGAAAGGCACCCACAAGAGAGTGCTAATCCTGTTTTTAAAGGCCAATCTAAATCTCTTCCTATGTTTATAAGGAAGCTAAATAATACCTAGCAAAGCATTAAGTGCTCAAGGATGTGCAAAAACTGGCAACATTTTTTTTCTCCTTTAAAAGAAATATATTGAAGACATTTTGTCTTCCCATCAAATGAACTGGGAAGAGAGAAGATTTGGAAGATTGTTTTGGCACAACGTTCATTTTTATGCTGTCTCTGAAAGTTTCAAATATGATGGATTAAAAACTCACTCATTTGCAATGAAATACAAGAAAGACAGCTTTGGATGTGCTGACAAGCTAAAGGCAGAATGCAACCATGTCCTCCCATTGCAATTATAATTGTTACATTGCCAGATTCTTTAGCTGCAACTTCCAACATAATGCTCCCCCTAAAGTATCATTGTTCCCCTTCAAAAAGAATCAAGCAGGATTTATTGAACAAAAAATCAGTCCAGCATAAGCAGTTTCAATTTTGGGGGACTCTTGATGCTCTCTGAGCTTGGTTGTTTCTTGCAGAAGTTTCATTACCCAAACTAGGTAGCGTCATTAGTGCTAGTAAAGAATGGGGTTTGCTCTCAGTTTATATTCTAATGGCTTGCCCTGTCAGTGTTGGTGGGAGTGTTCTTGATGGTTCTTTTGGCTTCTGCAAAGCTCCCAGCTTTTTCAAATCTTGTTTTCTTTAGATGAGAAGATGTTTTTTAAAATATTTTACTGCATTTAAAATATTAGCAGAAACAGAAAAAAGCAAATGGAACAAAATGCAAAAATGCACACATTATAAAAAATACACGTGCTTAAAAACTTGTTCAGTTTTTCCACTGGCCCATCTTCCTTAAGAAATATATACCAAAATATACCAGAATGGTATAAGGTTTCCTGCTTGAGCAGAGGGTTGGACTAAAAGATCTCCAAGGTCCCTTCCAATCCTATTATTCTACCGGTTTGTTCTACAACGAGCTTTAACCTACTAGTCTCTCATTTAATCCTGAGGACATCAGCTTGAAGATGGATGCCTTCTCCATTTACATCCCAAGTGCGCAAAAGCAGTTGGAAGATGATCAGTGATCACGTACTAATTTGCCAGCCTTGTAAAGCTAGGAACAAGAAGAAAAAATACTTACTAAAAGTTATATTCTTCCTCAGGAAATAAACAAAACCTCACTATATTTTATGCAGAAATTGCTTGTGATCACTCCTCTCTTCTACAACATTACCTCATCTTATGTGTACTGTGTTTGTTTGGCTACTGGCTGAATGATTATTACTATCAGATCAATTTTAGCAACTACATAATAAAACATTATTCAGAATGGTTTGTCTCCAACCTGGCCCTCCAGGTTTTTTTATTGGAGTACCCATTGCCACAATAATTGGGTTATACTGTGGTCATCCTCTTCTTTCCTTTCCTTCTACCTTTCCCAGCATTTATAGGCTTCTCAAAAAAAAAAGCTGGGTCTTTGCATAACGTGTCCAATATATGGCAATTTGGTCATCTCTATCTCAAAGCATCCACTTTGCTTTCATAGAGGGTCACAGGAAAATTGTCTGTGGCATATATTTTGAATGCTAGTTTATTTATTTTTAGTTGTTGATCCTAGAAGGCAGATGTTGTCCACCTATTCAGTATCTTCATTGACCATTCTCAAACGGATTGCTACATCTATTATCATTAGTTTGTCTTATTTATATTTCTCATTTTTCCATAGTTCTCCTTGACCTTGATTACTAGGTTTTACACAACATTTACTTTTTCAGCTATC